TTTGGAAGGATGTGGAAGCCTAATAAATGGAAGGTAAGAGGTAAACTGATTGAGCAGGTTCCAAACTTTAAATATCTGGGAGTACATTTCTATCATAGCCTTAGATGGGCAGTACATAAAAAGGAAATGACCAAATCTGTCCATAGTACCATGCTTGCAGTTTCTTGTTTTCACTATACTAAGGGCAATCAGTATGTGCCCGTGGCCTTGAGCGTTTTCAATCATAAGATCAGTGCTAAACTGATGTATGGGGTTCCAATCTGGATTGTGGCTAATAATAAAGATATAGAAAAAGTCCAATCTAGATTTCTTCAGAAGATATTAGGCCTTCCCCCATGTGGCCATCTGTTTGGAGACCAATCAGAGTTTTTTGGAAACGAAAGCTTGGATTATGACATTTAAATTTTGGCTCAGGAACGAATTCCAATCCTCTTATTTCACAAATGCTTACCAAGTCCTCATCCTCGGCATGGTTTTCCCATATAGAAAGCAAGATCACGCATATAGGAGTTAGTTTTGGAGAGCTTCTTCATTTGCCAAAAAGCTCAGCCTTTCACTTGATTAAACAAAGACTCCTCGACATAAAACACCAAGAGCTAATGATTAGCCTGGCTTCTGATAGATGCTCCCCCTTGAAGGTAGGGTTTCCTCCCCAAGGGTCTATTGCAGAATATTTTCTCTATTTAACCACTCCTCATTATCGAAGAGCTTTTATGTTAGGCCGTTTTAATGTGCTGCCTTCGGCTGTATTGGGTGGTAGGTTCTCTAAGACTCCTTATGTGGATAGATTATGTCCTTGTGGTGTTAATGAAATTGAGAGTCTGGATCATATCATTCTCCACTGTATCTTCTATCATGATGTTCGATCATCACATCTTGAGCCTGTGTTGAGAAATCTAGTAAATCATTCTGATGAGTGGAAGATATTTTATTTACTCTCTACTCGATCCTCAGTGATTATGGAAATTTCTGTTTTGGGCTTCTAAGAGAAGGGAATGTATTAACAGCATATGACTTTGTATATCTTGCCTGTCAGTTTCGATACAATATGCCAATAAAGGTTGGTTGGTTGATTGATACTTTGATTACTTTTCTGCCCTACTCCATGATTAAGACTCCCCTGTACTACTGTGCAGAGAACATGAGAGCATGAAGAGTCTCTGGTGATAAATATCTAGTCACACACTTGATTCAGCATCAGTATTCACACAGAGGCACCAAACTTTTCTAAAATGGGAGTTAGAACTGAGCCCTAGACTTCTATTTATATATTTATCTGGATTTGATCTTGTCTCCACACAGGCAGGTTGCAACTACAGTCTCCTTACAAGGGAATCTGTTTCCCTAGCAATTGATACTGCTTGTTGAAAGTGGTGGAACTACTCCAAAAGTGACGAGAGCACCAGACCAGTCTGTTTGCAATGGAGAAAAGTGTCCATCACCTTCTGACAATGATACCAAAGATAAAGTGGTGCTAGAAATGCATGCCCAGATTTGAAGCAATTCCTGTGGTTTTCCCATACGGCAGAGCAAGATATTCAAGGCAAGCAATCAGTACTTCAGTAAGAGCAGAAGATTGCCTCCTAACCTGGAGAAACAAGGCACAACTTTGTGGAAAAGTTATCAGAAAGATGCAGTGTTTTCCTTGAATAAATGCATTTTTGTGGTGTAATCCCCCCCCATACCTTTGTCCTGAACATCTGAACAAACATTTTCTAAGCAAGAAAAGGCATTGTTTTATTGTTAACTTGCACTGTGACAGAGCCCCCTAAAGGCACACATGCTGGACAAAGGCTAGGATGCTACTAAATCCCTTTGCACTGGCAGAACAGAGATTCACTGGTGTAGCAGATTTACATTGGCTTCGCAATATTATCGCACAGGCATACTTCCATACCAGAATGTCACCACTAGTGCAAGGGGCAAAAACGGGGGTAGCTTGGCAGGGGGGAGAAGTCCTTGGTGTAATTGCTGTGATCTCTCAGATGCCAGTCCCATCCCCAGTGCTGGAGTACTGTTGCTGCCGCAGTGACTCCCACTGGATGGTCTGTGCTGGATAATTCCCCTCCCCATAGTAACATTAGAGGGTGTGATTCTAACCACCCCTGCAGTCAGTCACAGCAGTCAAACGGTAGTATATAAACCCCAACTAGAATTCAGACTGTATGCATGTGTTGCTGGAGTCACATCACTCTATCTTCATGGCCTGAGCTTAGAAAATACAAGCGATAACTTTGGTGACAGGAACCCTGATGGAAGACACATGGCACAAAAAAGAAGCACTTCACATAAAAAACACCCAGAGATGGCAACAGCTCTAAAATAGCTGAATGGCAAACATTTTTGGTTTCAGAACACATACGGGTGCCCCAACACAGGACTCTAGACACAAACATACACACCCCAACTTCATTGATGCATCTGGGCATGCAAGGACTAGGCTCTTATGAGAGGACCCTACGCATGAAGAGGTTATGCTCAAAACTCCTGCCAGGCACTGGTGAAGGCTATGGAGAGAATAGCCCCCTTTCTTGGTGAACATGAGGCACTTGGCTCCACTGACACTGAAAACTAAACACTCATGTCCCAAAACACATGGCGCACAACAAACAGTGCACTAGGTCAGTGAAAGAACTGATGCTGTTTTAATGATTACATCGATGCTTCCCACAAATATAGCTATCAGGAGGTATCAGGAGGGAAGTGTGCCTGGGATTTAGCACCCTGTAAGGTTTCTCCCCAGTACGCCTTTCCCAGCCCCTCCAGCAAATGGCCATCAAGCAGGCAGGGGAAATGCAACCCTGCACGAGGCTGGGGTAGAAGGTCATTCTCCCCCTTCCAGGTGGGTTTTGGTATTTTCCTTCAGATAGTCCTTGCCACCACTAGGTCCTGTCTCCATCACTTCCCCTGCTCCCAGTCATTATCCAGAGGTACAACATCCCAGGGGTTGTTTTGTAGCACCGTGAGCAGTCTACACACATATGTAGGAATCCAGGCAACATGTCTTAACTAAATCAAACTTTATTTCTACAATACAAAACATGTCTTAACTAAATCAAACTTTATTTCTACCATACACAACTCTACAGTTACAGGACTAGAATGCAGACTGAGAAAAGAACAGGAACACAGGAAAGATTATTAAGCTAGTGAAGACGTATAGTTCTTGAGCATACCACCCCTGCTAGAGGTTTGCCGATAGATGTGTGCATAGCATGGATGCTGGTCCTTTGGCACAATGTCCTACCATCTCACACACACACACAAAAGAGAGGGCTCCTAATGTCAAACAAGGCATTAGCCAATCTGGACCTCAAGTTCCAAATCCCAGAAGTCTGCCAGGTTCAGCTTGCCCAATAAAGAAGTGCTAGCATATCAAAGAAACGGCATGTTTTCTTTCCTGGTAGCATCCAGTTGGATGAGGTTTTCCCCAGCCCTGCTAACTTTGTTTGGGCCAGTCAATCTCCATACCTGTCAAACATTTGCCCTTCTGCCTCTCATCCATCACACACCTATTCTTATTTTTATTCATTGGTGCTGGAGAAGACTCTTGAGAGTCCCTTGGATGGCAAGGAGATCAAATCAGTCAATCCTAAAAGAAATCAACCCTGACTGTTTCCTGGAAGGCCAGATACTGAAGCTGAAGCCCAAATACTTTGGCCACCAAATGAGAAGGGAGCACTCACTGGAGAAGACCCGGATGTTGGGAAAGATTGAAGGGAAAAGAAGAAGGGGACAACAAAGGATGAGATGGTTAGACAGTGCTATCAATGCAACGAACATGAAATTACGCAAACTCTGGAGGACGGTGGAAGACAGGAGGGCCTGGCATGATGTGGTCCATGGGGTCGTGAAGAGTCGGACTGGGAGAGGACAGAGTTGTGAGGCCTGCCTCTGTTGATGAGCAGACCTGCTAACTACAAGCTTTATAAAGAGAATTCACCACATAACCTCTACATGAATAAACTGTCTTTGTTGTTTTATTAAAACTTTTGCTTCAGTGATCTCTGTACTCTTCATGCTCTGTACAAAACTTACCTTACAGCAGCAACCCTTTACACTTGCTACCCTAAAAACAATGTGTAACAGGGGGGAAGGTCTATATCACAACTCAAGCAGGTTCCATAAGGACTAGTCCCCTAGGTTTCAAGAAAAAGCTTGTCTCAGATATCCCTTTCAGTTCTTTTTGAATGTTACGATATATTGTCCACTTCAGAAATAACCAATCAGGACTGGGTAGCTATTTCTACAAGGAATATTATGAACTCCCAGTGTCTTCTGTAGCCTTTTAATTCTGTGAAAGATATGGATAAAAGCTACAATTAAATAAACTGAAACCAAAATTAAAGCTCTTCCTTCTTCATTTATACTACATTTACCCTGATCTGATAGCTTCCTTGTGTTAGCCTGATAGCCTTGCACTACCTCTGTGTCCTCTCTTCAATTTAATATGCATTCCGACGCAGCATGGCCGGAACCAATCAGACGGACGTCGTTGCAGCAGTCATTGCACAGTCGCGGACTGTGGAACTACCCCAGAAGGAGCCGCTGCGGAGCTGCGCCGATACAGAACTCACCAGGAGGAAGCCGCAGGAAGAACAAAAAGCCGGTGGGGTGCCTGGTAGGCACTCACCTTCCCTATACATTGTGTGGCCCTAGCTAGGAGTTATAAAATGCCCATATAAACCGCTCAGAGCCTCTGGGATGGAGCGGTATAGAAATTGAATAGATAAATAAATATTTAAGTAAATCTTTCTTGGGGAAAAATTTCTCATGATACTTGGGGCCTATCAAAACACAATAATCCATTAAACAACTCATTACGTTTTGCTTTTACTGTACTGAGTAACAAAGTCAAATCTGTACCAAAAGGTGTTGACATAAAAAAACCACATCAAACTTCTGAATTTAAATCAATTGATTTTAATGATTAAAAAGCTATTTTGAATAGTTTCAAAAGAATGCAATGCATATCTTAAAAATGAGAATGAATGTGCATTTTTAGGTGGCTAGTGCTGACTGCTGCATTGAATTTGCTTTAGAGATTATACTTCATAATCATAACCAGAGAATGTAAGACTGCTTTGTATCATTTGTACACTGTTCTTTTGTGGAGAGAGAAAAAGTTGCAACAGAGCTTCATAACTCTGGAGCTTTGTATTCTTGTTTCTTCATGGGCTAACTGTGGGGAGGAAGGCATCGGGCTTTCTCGACCACAGAGTGGGTAAAATGTAATTATTCGCACCAGTAGTTGTGCGGTGCACTGAACAGATCAAGGCTTTTTCCATAAAAAAGCTTCATCACAAAGAACTTGAGCCAGTTTTGCATTGAATGGCCGATAAAAATCTTCTAGGATTTCCTTTGTAAGAGGTAACATAGGGCCTAGATTCCGATCCTCAGGCCTTCTTGTGTTTGATGCCGGACTCTTGGTAATTAGAGCTTCTTGTTTTTCACTTAGGGCACCTGTAGTAAACAATCCAAAAATACATATGTATAATTTTCTTTATGCATTTTCTGAAACATTTCCAAGTTAAAGAACACAAAAAGTCCTAGGCAGCTTGTGTTTATACAAGGTACTTGAGCAATGTGTGTTTTCTTATTTTTTATGTCTGAAGCAGAACCCACACCTTTGCTTGGACTAAATCAGAGACTTCTTATCTCTTTCACTGCAAAGGCAAGCCATAAGAGCTCATGCAACTGTTCTGCTCAAGGTTATCTTCCACACTATTTAAATAGCTTCCAGTTATTTAAAAATTAATTGTATTTTAAGACAAATGGAGACAAGCAGCTTTTTTTGTATCAATTAGTAATCTGCATGGGTAAGCAGCATCAACCTTCAGAACTCGACTGTTCTCAGAAAACAAACACAGCAGCATAGACTAATACTGAAATACATAAATTGTGTTGGAGAAAACTCAGTTATGTTACTGCTTAGATGATACATTCATGATGTATTTGTGGTGAATAGGTGGTGGGTATGTACATGTTTAAAAAACCCAATTAAAATATCTTTAAAAAATACTGAAATACATTCTTAATGTAATTTCCTTCTATTTGCATTTTTTGGCGGGGTTACAATAGAATCACCTGATTTCACCTAGCAAGCACAGAGGGCAGATGCAAAACATGCAAACTGATACCAATCTATTTTTGGTAGAAAACATCAAGAACATTATACTTTTTGGGGTGACCTTCCTCAAGACTGAAACATTCACCGTTATTAGAGCAGCTCATTTTGTTCTGTGCTTGCTCGCCAATTCACAGAAAGCCACTCTCTAATCAGATATTAGGAAATTACTTCCATATAGTAAATTTTATGTATGTTGTAACTAGTGACGATCACATGTTGTAATGTAATGTATGCAAATAGACACCTCTGAATTTGTTAGTCCTTACAGCACATGTGCATTTTTATTACACGCCTCCAAGTACTATTTTACTTACTTATTTAAAACATTCAGTAGCTGACTTTCTGCCTGGCAGATTTGCAGAACTCAAGGCAGCTTACAATATAAATAAAAATTATTAAAAAATAGAAATTTCTACAGGAAACTCATATGTGAAGTGTCTCCATGCTGGTGTGAACGGGTGAATTAGAATAAAATCCAAAACTATTATCCCTTTGATCAAAGGAGGATAAAAGGCTAAATTTAAACATCTTACAGTGCAATCCTAGGCTGAGTTACAATATTCTAAATCAGTGGGCTTAAAAGGGGGTAGCTCTCCTTAGGATGACACTGTAAAATTTCTTAAATCTAATGCATGTTAAGACATGAATAATACTTGCGAGTTAAATAAAAGATCAGCAAATAATACAGGTAGCCAGTAGACAAGATATCCCAGTAAACTAGTCCATGTCCCATCTACAAGGCTTCTGCAAGACCCTGACATGACCCCCCCAATTCATATATATCTCTGAAGCTGACCAGTACATAGGAACTAAAGAGAACAAGCTAATGCTCAGAGCAGGAGCAATGTGACTTCCACTTCTCCCCAAAGCACTTGGGGGACTCCTCCCTTTGTTGCTGTCTGCCTCCATGCATATAAGCTAAGGACTGGAACTGCCAACAACTCTAGAGGAAATGGGGGAGCTTTAGAAAATATATAACAATGTCATGCAACTGGCAGTAATGTGCTTAATCTTGAATGATCAGGAAAAGTGCTCACCTAGATCCAAAAACCGGAACACCATGTGCATAGTATACTTAATGTTGGATGCATGATCTTCCAAACGGAGAACTAGCATTTGATCTTTATTAAAAACTGTGAGCCAGTCCAGGAGAAAAACAACATACAGACCAACCTGAAGTCGTACCTGCAAGAATGAAAACAAAATAAATGAATTCCAGCTCTTATAATCTCAGTGGTTCTCAAACTATGGGGTGGAGTCCAAAAGGAGGTCATGTTTATCTCGCAAGTGGGTCATGAAAACAGTATGGAAGAACAGGGTGAGCCTGGGAGAAGAGACCCTTCCTCTGCATAATATAAGGAATGGCCATGAAATCTACTTGTTATACCTAACACAAGATGCCCATCGGAAGTATATTCAGAAGCACTGCAGGAACCCAATTCTGATTGAGCCTGTAGGGGGGAGCCTTTCCTCTGTGCTGTTTTTCCAACCCAAAATGACCTGGGGCATTATTTTTCCCATGGGGAGACTGGAGTTGCAAGTATTCAATGTACACGCCCCCCAGGGTAGTAACACCCCTCTGGGCCATTTTTGGTTGGGAAAATGGCATGAGGGAAAGCAAGGGGTCTCTCCTCTTCTCCACACTGCGGTCACAATCCAAACTAAGCCCATTTAGTACTTCCAAATTGTGATCCCATGGAGAACTTGTAGCTGTTGTGTAGCTGCAAGACCATATGGCAGTCCTGAAGTAGACATTCATGGGGTCGCGAAGAGTCGGACTCGACTGTGCGACTGAACAACATGCTCACAGACAGAACCTTCGCTGAAAGAGCCCTTATGCAGTATGAACTTTTTATTTCAGTGACCACAGCAACACTTTTAAAAAAGCTTTTATGTGAATTCATCCCAATTACTTTCATGATCTTTTGTCCATAGCCCTGTTGTCACTGAGGTGGCAAGCGCACATCTAGGCCACACCACTCAGATTAATACTAAACAAAAAACACAGAACCTTGCACAGAGCAACTGTATTTAAGGGACAAGGCTTAGCCTTCTGTCTTGCATGCTAGTTTTTTCATGCAGGGATTGGCATTTAATCATGTGATACCTCCCCATATACAGTCTGGAGTGGTATGGCCCAAGAAAACCTCAGTGATAAAGTTCATGCTTGATTTTATAAATTTCCTAAATGTCTCAGCACATTAGATAAAACTGGCTACATATTCCATTGCCTATGCATCAGACTAAATTTAAACCAAAACATACTCACAGGCATGGCATTATTAAGGGTGTTGTTGTACACACAAGCTCTCAGGGAATAATCCACCAGGCAATTTTCAAACAGCTGTAGTGACTCAGCCACTTTTTCATGGAAGTCCTCTACAGATTTGTTAGCACTTGCAAAGTAGAGATAATCTGAATACAGTCTGTAAAACGAACAGCACAGGACCACGTGAAATTTAATTGCAGTCAAGCCATGTGTCATCATAAGAAAAATAAAGATAATAAATTGACAGATACTTTTCTGGGGAAGAAACAAAATATACAGAAGAGGCCCATTTACAAAAACAAAGAAACCATACTGCCATCATTTTTTGATTTGTTTTTTTCTCTAGCAAAACCTCTGGTAAGAGAGATTATCTGAAGACTATCAGACAAGAGGAGGATGAAAGGCGGCTCAGACAGGCAGAACTCATTGCAGAGAAACTAAGAGCAACTGTCAAGCTGATCCAAGATGCCTTTCTAGTAAAGAACCCACAACAGACTTTCACTAGAGGAATCCATTTTCAAATGTCTCCTTTCCCCTTTCCTATTGCTGCCAGAGTTTCTTTGAATAGACTGATTTTGTCCCTGAAACTGCTATAGGATTCAAGTGTGATGATACTGCACAGCTGTAGTAATGATCACAAAATCCACCTTTCTCCTAGTATACCGTTACAACATCTTGTAAGGTGCAAAGATAACCATGCAGGAACGATTGGTTCATGAGTGGAGGAACTCTTTTCCCTCACCTAACTGACTTCTGTTACATGGAACATGTGTTGAATCAGCATAGTGCCACACTGTCAATGTGTATACCCCAAAACTGATGCCTAGATATTTTAAAGGCCACTGTGCTCTTGTGCCCTTAAAATTAACCACCATAGTTTCCTCCTTCCATTCAGCATATGGTGCTGCATTTGTCTGTCATATTTCCATCTCATTCTTCTTCCAAAGAGCTGAAGGCAACACACGTGGTTCTTCTATTTTACTCCCACAGCACTCCTGTGAGATAGGCTAGGGTGAGACAGTGATTGGCCCAAGGTCACCCAGTAAGCTTCATAAATCGAGTGAGCTTCATAAATCAGTGAACATTTAAACCTGTGACCCAGGCAAAAACAAATCTATAAAATGCAAGCTCATGCAGCCTTGATTTACTTCAGAGCCATGTAGAGGAGGGACTTGGTTTTGTTAATTGAACCTGGGCTCCCTGCTTTCTTATTAGCATTTTAAAAGGGGAAATATGTATTTTAAAGGAAATCTCTTTTTTCCACTTAAAATGCTAATAGTAGAGTGGAGAGCCAATCCTGATTATCAAAACTGAGCAGAATTTGAGGGGTTAAACCTCTTTTTTCCTTCCCAATAGAGGTCAAACACAAATTGAGGTTGCCAGAGGCTGCAATTTCATTTTAAAGACATACAGAGGATGCATGATGTTTGTCGTATCTTTTTGAGTCCATAACCTGAGACATTACATTACACTAGCTCTCAATCAACATACTGTCTTCTCCTGCAAACTCAGTTTCCATCTCACTCTAACATGTCCTGCTCAATGGAAACTACATTCATTATCAGAATTACCTATAACTTCTTCATTACCAAATCTAAGAATTACTATCCTATCCACATTGGTCTTTCTACTACATTTGACATAACCTCTCTTCTTTGATCTCAATTTCGTAACATTTCATCATTCTTTCTGCTGTGAAATTGTACAGTCAAGGGCTATATGCATAGAGACCTGTTTTATTGTAAGAGGATGTGTGTGTTAATATGTCAGAAAATGGAGGGAAAGTGTGATGCAGCAGATATTATATATTGAGTGTATTTGTAATGAACGGCTCTATTCAGCTCATGCTCATTTCATGAACAGGTTTCTGAGATCCTGAAATTATCCATTCCATTTCCACAAAACAGCTCTTGCCAAGGTTCAGAAGGAATTTCACCTGGTCAAATTCAAGCATTCCTGTTGATTCTCAATTTCTTCACCAATCAATCTGCAGCCACTGTCCTATCATGGTTCCTCTGTTCTGTATCCTACTTTATCTCCTTAGTCTGTTTAGTAACTTATCACTCTTATTTTTGTTTGTTTTAATCAATCAATTAAAATATATTCTTCCACCGTACCCTGCAGACTCAAGGCAGCTAACAAAACAACAAAAGCTGCAAGGACATACAAACGCCATAAGCATCCAGCAACAAAGTTGAAACTGGGACCTACCACAGAGAAAGTGTGTATCCTCACTGTTGCCAACTGACAAGCCTAGGTAAGGGTACCCCAGGAGAAGGCTGTATGAGAAATGTAACTGGAGCATGGGAGAATACCAGGAGATGCCATTCAAAAGTAAATGAGGTGACATTTTCTACTCTCTTATCAAAAGGTTCAGTGTTTGGTCCCATACTTCCTTTTCTCTATATTGTCATTTTCAGTACATTCATTCTCATAGTTTCTGCTACCATCTTTATATGGATGACTCCCAAATCTACACTGCTACCCTCAAACCCATCCTATTTTTCAAGCTACGCACCCACTGAACTTTTTAAGAAAACCCATTTTTGTTACCTCTCACAGCTTCTCTTTAGTTGCTGCCTGGCTATCCTCTACCCTATTCCTACCACACATCTGAGTATTCATTATCTCCCCCCCCTCCATGCTTGTCTTATTTGTGTCATGTAAACTGTAAGCTCCATTCAGCATAGCGCCTAGCAAATTAATGACACTAAATAAACATTAACAAGGAGCTGTGACAATTGTATTTGCCAATCTGCAGAAATGTTGCATGTTTGGACCCTATTGTAGCAACCTTTGATGCAAGAACAAGACCCCCACAGAGAAATTGTGAAAATTAACCTTTGGATAAATCGCACATGAACGACATGGTACTAGAAACCTGCAGCCAAAGCATTTGCTGGTTACTTCCAATCAATATGCGAATTCATCTCCCATGCACTTCATGCTCCAGTTTCTTGGTGACCCCTAAGACTGTTAGATCACAAAGCTCCACTGATAGCATAAATTACTATGTCTAATAGAATCCCACTATTATGTGCCCATTAAAAGTGAAGAAGCCCTATACATAGAGCCTGTGCCCCTTGGTTCACAGATCTGAAACACTCTTCCATATCTCTGTTCTCTGTCCTCTTTTCTTCCTATTCATTAGCTTTTCTCTCCCTTCCTGAACTCCACTGCTCCTCCCCCCCGCAAACCTGTGTTCCATCTACTTACCCTTCCCTCAGTCCAAATGTTTACCCTGAACCTGGCTTCAGGTCTCCCTGTACCCCCAATCATCTTACCCCTTAAACCTCTTCTAGTTCTCCTGTTCCCCTCTTCCTAGGCCTGAGTTTGCTACAAAATCATACCTCTCTCTAGGGTCAGTATAAACATTTTATCAAACCCACACTGACAGCATTTCCTTCCCTTGCTGAAAGTAGACGCTATGGGGAGGGAAGGTAGAAGGAAGTATGGTTTGGAAACAAAAGCAGAAGAGGTGACCCATTTTATCCTCACAACTTCCCTGTGAGATGAGTGACTGGCTCAAGGTCACCCAGTGAGCCCCGAAGGCAAAGTGAGGATTCCCCAAACCTGGATTTCCCAGATCCTAGTCTAGCATTTTAACCACTATACCACACAGACCCCGCTGAGAAATGCTGCAACCAATAATTAGGATAGCATTTCTGCTTCTTAGGCCAAACACTGGGTTGCTGTTAGGAGATCTGCCTGTACAAAGTTTGGGTGTGTCCAAGTTACTGTTAAGGGGTATCTAAATCCTCTTTGTATATATCAATCCAGAGGCATGAGGACTCCGGCTGGTCGGCTCTATCTGGTGCTCCTTTATCTGTTGTTCCTTTTAATGCTGGCCCAACAATTGATTAACTGTTTAGGGGTATTGGGAAACCAGTCAAAATGGTGTGTGGAATCGCTGCACAGACCCAGCAATCAGACACATTTAATTGGTGTGCTGAGATGTGTGCCATCTGTATGTATAGGTCGTCACTCCAATCATGGTGTGGGTCTATGGGTGCCTTTGGGGCTCCATCTATATTCTGTACTAATCCCAAACATAGCAACAAAAATAACATTTGCCCATTCTTAACTGTATCTTAAAAAACCTTTGTCATTCTGGCTTGAGTCACAAGAGACTGAGCCAACAGGAGCCTTATTGACCCAGTAAATCGAGTCACACCTCACACATTTTGTTTCATTTTTGCTAAGCGGCAGCTTTGTATACACAGCATGGAGGACTGCTTAGAGAACATAACCATAGATACCCATTTAAGCTTCATAATGATTTCCTTTAAGGAAAAATAATCATAAACTTAAAATGATAAATTATGTGATTCTGGGGTGTTTATGCACTTTCATCCAATGTCATGCCATCTAGAGGAGTATACTAAGCACAAGAACAAATTAAAGAGAAATAAAAAGTAAGTGTCTTGCTTTCAGTCTTGACAATGAATGCGTCTCCCTCCACATGCCACACTTTCATGGGAGAATAGATATAAGACCTGCCAGAGATGTGAGCCAAGTGCTTCCTACCACAGTAGCTCTTTAAGGCGTGGCAGAAGAGGAAGAATGCAGCATACAAATGGAATGATCTGGCTGTAGGTCTAATGTGGGTAAACAAGGAAATGTGCCACTCCCAGCTTATATTTCACTGACAATAAACAGGCATTGAATATTTGGTAGTGCTTAATACGTTACTGCCTTAGGCAGATGCCTGTTTTACTGTGCATGAAATACTTTGCTGTGAAACTGGAAGATAGGCCAGAGCCAGACATTTCATTAAATCCAGCACTCTGCAATAGGTGTCCCACTCCTGCAAAAATGTATTTATTTACATGCAACTCACTAATTCTTGAAAGGCATCAAGGAAGATGAAGTGAGCTGTGTAAGAGAAGTGCATCTTAACAGTTCCATGAAGTGAGTAGAAGAAGGCTGGGAAACTGAGCGAGGATGTTTATTTCATTTGCATGCTCCTCCACTGCCAACACAATTTAACTATCCTTCCTAAATTATAGGCAGCTTAAGGCTTCCCCCTTGCAAAGAACCTTTCTTACATTAAATATAACTTTATCAAAATATATTCCATCAAACAGAAGTGCAAAGACAAATTCAATGCATAAGAGCCCATTCTGATCTGGTTCATGCAATCAATGTTTGCTGGCC